AAACTCACCGTGAGCTGTGTAGGAGCTGATATTCTCAGGAATGGGTTTCATCATATTCATTGGCCACAAAGCTGATTTTATTTCCTATGTACTGTTTTAGAATATGGTTCATTTAGCCTGACTTTTTTTTTTACGAAAAAGCTACAGAAGAAAAGTGAGCAAACTATTTCAACATTCCCGTTTACCAAAACAAAATTATGTTTTGCTTACCTTTTTAAATGTATGCTGTCTATGACATGCACGCACTGGTACACGAGTTAAGAGGTACTAATAATCTTGCTATTTGCCTTCGAGGGTTTGGCCAATGTCTGTATGTTGTCTACGAATCCAGTATCCATTAGTTTACAGTGTCAGCTTGAGTTTTTAGATACTTCTAGACAGACAGAGAATGCTTTTGAGATTTTCGTTTTTCTGTTTTTCATGAGGATGCAGAGCTAGGTTTAGTTTTAGATGAAATTTACAATTGCTTTTCACGTACTATTTTGATTTGATTTTACATTTAGAATGAACATAGAATATTAACGTTGAACTTATTTTTCCCAGCTGATTTGTACTAAATCTTATTTTGCATTTGCATACCAGCTTTTTGATGTCAATACCTGGTTGAAGAAATAAATGTATAAAATATTTAACAAAATCTATCATTCCCCAGATTAATCGATTCTTTCTTTCTTTCTTTCTTTATTCATTATTATTATTTTTTTAAGCCTTTATAATTCGTAATACCTCTTATACTTGGTGAGGAAAACCATTGTATTTTGAGTATTTCTTCCTACTTATACTGATAAACATCCTTTTGACTTTGTTCAGAATTTCTCCAGAGAGAGAGAGAGAGAGAGAGAGAGAGAGAGAGAGAGAGAGAGAGAGAGAGAGAGAGAGAGAGAGAGAGAGACGAGAGAGAGAGAGAGAGAGAGAGAGAGAGAGAGAGAGAGAGAGATGATTGATATAAACATGTGTATGTGTGTGTGTGTGTGTACATATAAAGGAATATTCAGTGCTAACAATAAAAGGGCAGTCACTATAATAGGGACGAAATGCTGTCAAGTAGCATCAGAAAAAAAGAAGAGAAATAAGAGGTAATAAACACATGAGTGTGGTTGGGATATATATATGTATATATATATTCCTTTTTATTCCCCCCCCTTTTTTTAAATTAGGAATTAATACAGGAATGTGTTATTGGGATTCACAACACACACTACGATATAACAGCTCATTGAAAATGAAAGGAAAGAATGAACCAGGTATGAAAAAGAATGTCGGTACAAAGAATAACTAAAGAAAATGGAAATTTCATATGAACTCTCAAGTACTTTAACACTCATTTTCTGCGGAAAGAGAGAAAGATAGGTATATAGATAGAGAAGAGAAGAGAGAGAGAGAGAAGGAGACAGAGGGAGAGAGAGAGAAGGAGAGAGAGAGAGAGAAGAGAGAGAGGAGAGAGAGAGAGAGAGAGAAATGGATAGATAGAGAAAAGAGAAAAACGTTGTAGCCCGCGCACCGCAAAATCAGAGCGAACTACAAAGAATAGAAAAAGAAAAAAGAAAGGAAAAAAGAAAGAAAGAAAGAAAAAAAGGCGGATTAAAGAAATACATACAATGAATGTAGTTAGTATGCACACACACACACACACACACACACACACACACACACACACACACACACACACACACACACATAGATGAATGGATAGACAGACGCCCTTGGAAAAACTAGTAACTAAAGATCGTGTGTACCTGAATATGCAAATTATCGATGAATGAGTGTTTATTTAATAAAATGAATAATTATGAATATGTTAAACAGCTGATTTGTTCCTTCGTGCCATATTTCTCAATAACCAGTACATCTAATACATTTCACGTTGTAATAGATATGTTGTCTTTGGTGACAAGTTAATACAATGGGAATCCATAGTTCGATTAGTCAGTATTTAACAAAGTAAGACCAAAGTTATAATTTTCTAAAGACACGGATATCATGGTAAAAAAAGTGCATGTATTTATTTGTTTGATAATGACATATGACTAAGGTGTTGATGATTTATATGACAGTGAGGAAGTGCTGCAGCATATAATTATATTTTTTTCCAAGGACGAATATTTAGATCAGAATTCCAGTTTGGAGTCAGTAGGGGATATATTTGCCTCCTTCCTCCCAAACCTTTCAATTCCTTGGTCCTGGGCAGTGTACAAATTATTAATTAAATGTTTTTGGACATTGATTTGGTGAGGTGTGTATTTCTTACTTTTTCCATATATCTCAATGACTTAAGACTAATAAAAAACTGCTTAAATCTAACATGTTCTACATAGGTAATAGTAAGGTACAGGGATATATTTTTTTTTCCTTAAAATATTTTTAAAGCTCAAATCTTATTTCTTTTTTCATGTCTAGTTCAATAAGTGATTATCAAAGATTGTGTTTTCCTTTCCATGTGTATTTTCTCATAATATAAAATGCACTCATTAAGACATTTTTTACATGTTACTACCACAATGCTACTAACAACAAACGGGAAGATTAATAGACTGAAACAGATTCCCTTCTAAATGACTTAATACATAATCTATTAACAGTCCTCCTGCGGTTATAAACGATCCGGTGATCTAGCATCCTTAAATGCCGGTAGATTTGTAGCCGTCAAAATTGAAGAGCTATTAACAAGGGCAGACATCGCCATTAGGAGTCTGAAGTCAGAACGCCGATGAAAAAGTTAAAATGAACAACACATAGACACACGCACACGCTCTCTCGCACACACATACACGCACATACACACGCACACATGCTCAGACACATATAGGACAAATACTTTTCTCACTTCTCTCACATCACACTATACTATACGACGTCTTGAGATTTTGGGGCTACAAATGTAAGAAAAAACAACCATGTACTGACGGACAGAGGGATGATTTTTGAAGAATAACTATAATAATAAATAATAAATAATAATAAGATAAAAATTCTTTGAACATATAGAGAAATTAACTGATAAACAGAAATGCAAATGACAGCCCATAAAGATTTATGAACAAACTATTCACTTGAAAGCATAAAAAATAAGCAATGACCTTACTGTACCAATCACCCACGACGCCAGTTAATAATTAAAGTGAAAATCAAAGTGTGGTCTTCGGGGCCAACATGCGATGGTCGTTCGGCATACCAGTTCAGTCGGTGAGAGTGTGTGCACAGGATCCCTCACTCCGTATTGAAGTCCAGATCGAGGATTTAGAGAGAAGGAGAATCGGATTCTGGCGATGATGAGACCCAGTTCCTTGTTGCTGATTGCTCTCGTCGCTCTGCTGAAGGACATAGAGGGAGAGAGGAATACTCTCAGTTTGAAATTAATTGTTGGTTACAGGATAGCACCGGCCATTCTTACCTTCAGTGCACGTAAGTAGAGAAGTAATAAATACTTGAAAATGGCCAGCTCCATCAAGGACATTCATTCTTAGAATTAATTTACCCTTTTATAGAGGGTCTTCCTTGGCTCTTTGTCCTTTCTCAACCAGGTACTCGACTGGCATGTGCAGCAGGCTGCGTCCAACACCAAGCTTGTGATGTTTACAGCTTCAAAGTAAATTCCAACTCGAGCAACTGCGACATCGCACCACTGGATTCGAACACTTATTTCGAGCAAAACTCGGATTATGTTTGTTATGTGCCATTTGGTGGTGAGGTGGTCTTTATAATTTCTGTTCTTATTGCAATATCGTGTGAGAATATACAGAGTATTGCAACACTACAGTAGCAGTTTCTTTTTATGGATTCCCTTTATACCACTGCAATTTTTCAGTTTAGGTTTCTCCTTACCAGATTTACACAAACGTTCCTTTTGCCTTTTGGCCGAATATTCTTTATTGACACAACTCTGTACCTCAGCCGCGATCCCTCTCCGCAACGAACAGCACGGACTGTGGGGCCAGTGGTCGGTCTTCAAGTACTGTGATGAAGGTTCCTTTGTTTACGGAGTGAGGGCTTGGGTGAGTGATTCCGCCGTGTCCTGAGAGAGAGGGGCCAACGGGAAGGGGATAGCTGGGCATGAAAGAGGCGAAGGGGTATTTCGTCTCCGTTTTATTGTAAATTGTACGTAAAGTGATAATTAAAATTCCGTCTTTTGTACTGTAATTGAGAAATCTAACGTATCTTGCAGAATATCCCGCTCTTTGGTATCATGTGTTTAATTAACAAATGTATCCGAATGACGATGGTAGCCCCTATATCAGAACCGACACATTGGCTTCAAACTCCCGAAAGAGAGCGACGCACCTTGACGGCAGAAGAGGCAGTCCATACCCATAAGGACTTCCCTAGCATATCTCTTGTCCTTCATATACAATGAAAATGATTTTGGGGAGGATTGTGAGTTATTAGATTCCCGAGTGGAACTATTATATAAAAAAAACTAAATAAATAAAATAAAGTTTATGTAGTAACTTTTGTTCTTAGTTCCCTCTCCCCTCGTTCGTCCATTGCCTCTCCCTTCCTTTCTTTATGTCTTAACCGTTAATTCATTACTTGTGTCTATTTCCCCGTTATTTCTGCCGTTCCGTTAATTGTTTTCTATCTCTTCTCCCCTATTTTACTGTCACCAGTTATTTACGTTTTACCCGCATAGTTCAGATCTTTCGAGATATCTGTGGACTGGACATCGGGCGTAAGAGCCGCATGGGACAATTGCCTACTGTGACGTCATCAAAGGTTTCCCACGCCTTTGTAGAATTCAGATTTGGTTCGAGGTTGGATACACTTCACGGGCGATTTCCATTGTATCATAATTCATTTTTATGAGAATTATTGTACAATACAAGAAATACTTTTTAACATTTAATATCAAAGAATACATTTTAGTACGGCATATTGCCTCGAAAACAGATCTACAAGGTTTTGATGCATGAGAAGGCAAGACATTCCATTCTTAACGTTGTCTCCCTTTTTCACGAAAGGAAGACGTATATGGCGGAAGTGGACTCGCTGAAGACGACTGCGGT